AAAAAAAAAAAAAAAAAATGGGAAATAACTGAAGCCATGGAAAACGGCAAAAGCGGTATTTAAATATGTCATGGGTGACAATTATCAAGCCGGCGGAGATTACGGGTAAAGCACTTAACAGTCAGAGTCAACACTCAATCGTATGCAACACTCCAAACATTATTGTCAGTGACGCTATTGAAAACAGATACTACCCATATTCACTGTCAAGTCCGGTAAGGCATGGAAATCGGGTTGCATCTTAGCGTCCAAGCCTAGAACATGTTACTCGCGTAAAATTGAGACTGTGGTTTGTCTCAATGTTCTAAGAACAGCGAAAATGATGACGTTCCGGGTGACGTTCTAGGTACTTGAAATTCTACGAACTTGAATCGCGCGACAGAGCGCACGACAAAGTGTTATGTCATCGATGTCATCGTGTGTTGTGCGCGACTTGATAGAAACGGGCTGCACTACCACTAAACAATTTAAACTTACTGTTGTATTTACAAGTTACGCAACATATCACCTCTACATAATATGCCCAGGGATTATGAAAAATTCTCCGAGATAAGCTGTTAAAGTTTTGTATCAGAGGAAATGAACATAAACGGTACCCGAGCGTGAGAGCAGCGTTTTCATGAATCTATCGTGACTCAAGTTCAGGATAACCGAACAAGCAGGAAATGTATAAAGTCTCAAGTCTCTTAATGACCGTAAGGAAAATTTCTGTCCGTCGGTGGCTACTCATCCCAATAACATCATTGAAAAGACACCAGGGTAAATCTCTCGACATTTAGTTACCAATTGGTGAAGTGGTCGTTGACGACAGATCCAAACAAAACTCTACTTTGCCTCTCTCGATTCAGAATATTTGACTCAATGTCTGATTTTGACCGAGTTGTTTTAAATGATTTCATCCTATAAGCTACCTACCTTTGTTAAGCCAAGCAGATTCACCGTCAACCCAGCTTTTATCGACCAGAGTCGACCAGTTGTCCTCAGTTGTTTTTCTGTTCTGAGAACTTGGGAACATCTACTGTGACCGCCGGGCGGCAATCCACGCTCTGATGACTGCAAAAATGTTAATACAGCGCATTACCGAGCCGTGAATAAACTTTGACCTGCCCTTAGAAATTCTGACAGTTTTCTTGTTTAACAAAGATATATCCGGAAGGGTGGGCTGAATATAGCTTGCAATTGATCCTCTCATCCGCAACGAACTGTGCATGCCAATCTGTTTCACCGGTTAAAAGAATCATAGGACTTGCAATTTGAGAAACACTGCTTAGGTCTACACGCCCTTAGTCTGTACACTAACCACCACTATTTAAAATACACCAGTTTTATCAGCTGCTTGCAAATCCTGCGCTTGTCATGAACGGGAACAATTACACTTGGTCAGTTTTAAAGGCAACTTGAAGGCCTGTCTATGCCTGGTGGCCAAATGGTATTACTTTAGGAGTCATCAAGGTTCTCGGCAAAGCCAGGTTCTGCTGGATGGAAACGGGATCTAGCGTTCGTAAGGCCCTATCATTAGGCTGATTTAGCAAGAGAACGGGAACGTCACTT